ATGTTGAAAATGCGTAAACTAGATCACCTTTTTGAAGAGATGATGCTCTTTACAAATCGAAATTTGTATATTGTATATACAGCGACAATCAAACAGTCGAAAATTGGTCAGAAAAGTGACGTCACCACTGTTGCTGTGGCAACAATGACGATTCAAGATGGCCGATATTTTGGCTTTGAACGCATTTTACTTTAAAAAAGGTCGGTTACCCCCATTTTTATTTCAGAAAACATTTTCTTATAGTGCAATGCACTATCTGACCAATTTAAAAAAAACTCTGTAATGCAAAAAAAAAATTATTTCGAAAAACCATGTTTATATATTTTTTAAAAATTTGGCATTACAGAATTTTTTTAAAATTGGTCAGATAGTGTATTGTACTACACGAAAATGTTTTCTGAAATAAAAATGGGGGTAACCGACCATTTTTTAAAGTAAAATATCGGCCATCTTGAATCGTCATTGTTGCCATAGCAACAGTGGTGACGTCACTTTTCTGACCAATTTTCGACTGTTTGATTGTAGCTGTATATATAATATACAAATTTCGATTTGTAAAGAGCATCATCTCTCCAAAAAGGTGATATAGTTTACGCATTTTCAACATTTCTATAAACTGTAGCGAGCCACCTTAAAGAAGCAACGGTAAGTCAGTAACAGATTGCTTCAAAACAAAACAAACATGGTGCCACGCTACATAAAGTAAAAGTTGACTTCGGTTGCAAAATATGTCTTTTACTTTTTAAATGAAAAAAAGCCTTTACCTTAAACAAGACTAACAAAACTTACATAGTTGAGTGGAATTTTCAAGCTGTTAGCGTTGTACGTATAATGTGATGTAACAAAGCGAGGAAAACTTTGCCAGCGGACGGTTCGCTATAAACGTAAGTTAAAACTACAATTGTCTCGAACATTATTATGTAAATTATTAATAAGTAATAGCATGGTTTCTCGTGAAATTTATGGCGCGTTTTACTGTCAAAATTCAATAGTTTGAAATCGAATATAAACATTGTAAATCGATCAACACTTTTGGGAAACGAACGGACTAACTTATATTTCGACCATTCGAATCGATCAATACTTTCCGGAATTGAGCGGGTTTTAGTCAAATTGATTAAGCATTCATGGCATAGAGCGAATATTTGCAACTTTCACCCACGTTGAACCATACACATTCGTATCGATCAACACTTTCTCGAATCGATCAAAGCTTTCTCTAATCGATCAATGCTTTCTCGAATTGAATCGACCATCAACCAACACTCCATTAACGTGTTTCTACTTCACTCCCATGGCGGATGATTTTCCAAGGTTTCCCATATCAGTTTTTCAGTTTTCCTTAATATTTTCCCAATCAAAATTTCCTTAAAATGTGAAATTCAGTGGAAAATAATGAAAATTATCTTCGCGCTTTATGCAAGACTGCGTTTCAGAGATTTCAGTTAATTAAAAGGTATGAATTATTTATTTTTATCGACAATTTATAAACGCAGTGTAATATATGCATGTTTTAGCATCATTGTCAGACGTTGTGGTACTTGTGGTCATTTAAGGTAACTTATAGTAGCCTAAATGTTGTTGTTTACTGCATGTATTAAAATGGTGTATATTAAGAATAATAAGATGACGCACTCTTCATGTATATTGCCCTACACGAAGTGTATACCTGAATTTTGTAGGATTAATTAAGGTGGGGGGACTGAGTATTTACATTCAGAAATCTGACTCAGCCAAAAAAGCATTTACCCCACTTTATAACGTAAAATGTTTTGAAATTAGGGTGTTTAACCCTAGAAAAAACCCTCATATATTCCCCTACGTTGTGCACCATGCTCCTCGCATTTCCTAACTATTTCTGTCTTTAAGATTTTCATTTTTTATGCAGGGGAGTAAATGGGGGGGGGGGGGGTTGGATGGTTCATCTAAAAATTATGCGTTTGTTTACATTCAGTGCTTTGGGAAGCAAATTAAATATTTAGGCGAAACTCGAGATAGACTCAAACTATTGGGTATTGAGTTGGAAATTTGCTCAAATGGATCAAACAGCTCAGAAATAATATGAAGAAATATTACGTACTTATTTTGCGAGTTTAATTTATGAACGAATTATCAGTCAAAACATGCGCAAAGTGATGAAGTTTCCATTTACTTTCCAAACATGGAGATATCTATATGTCACTATACGTGTTGGCTCAACTGGTACCCGGTTGGCACTTTTATTTGGAATTTAGGTTCTGCAAGTTCATTCACGGGTGATATTCTATATTAGCGAAAATTTCAAACCCCCAAAATCAGACTCCAAAATGCAATGAATCTCGATCAAAATAGCTAACATTAGTTGCAATATTTCTCCGGTCCCTAAACTATATTTTTAAGATGCAAAGTGCAAAAACGAATTTCTAGCCGAGTTATATTAGGAAGTATGTTCACATGTAAAACGATATGCATATGCATTTTGTTACCAAAGAGTTTTATGCGCCTATTGCAATCAAGAAATTCGATCAGTGACTACGACGCACTGGTTTATCTGAAATCACGAACGAAAAATGGTTTCCACTGACTAGGCGATGTTTCCAACTGTTTCTTACAGTCAGGCCCACAACTAGGTATATGAGTCAATCGAGTTCAAGTTCAATGACAGACTGTAGTTCTCTCCATGTAAAGAAGCATTCTTCTTGCCCTATAGTGACGTAAGAAATGGGAGGCTGTGTGGGTGCACAAGTATCCCAATAACCCAAATGCGGGCCAGCGTCCAAATATTACAACAATTGAGCACGAACACTTTTTTATTATGCACCTGATCAATGATGTTCAACCAAAAATATTTGTAATTCTTAGCCTCAGGATTGGGGGCAAACTACAATATAAAATTATAGTCATATATTGTGTCACTGTTTATGAAATTGATTTTTCGTTTTAACTGCTCCCAGAATGCAGGAAATAGCGTTTCTAAGCCTTAGAAAATCAAAAATTTTCTGGGGGAGCATGCCCAGACCCACCCCAGAAGTGTCTCGGTCAATCAAAAATCCTATAGTTACGCGCCTGAAAATTGCTGTAACATCCGCATCAGCCGGCCGCAGCTTTTCAAAGCTGACTCAGTGAAAACTGTTATGCGTTCAGCAATGAACCAGGAACGCCTTGGTGAACTCTTGCGTGTGAGCGCGACCTAACAGACACGATCGATCTTGACGAAATCGCTAATCTGTGGTCAAACCTGACTAAGCGCAGACACTTAATAAAAATATAACGTTTCACAGCAAATTAAACTGTACGTGTTCTTGCAAAATTCCTAATAAATGCCATCAATTTCCATGCTTTGTACTCAATTTTATTGCAACGCACCAAGAGTCGGTCTGGATTCACATTTCAGTGGTGGGTCGGTCTCATTTTGTGATTACACCCTCTCAGTCAAAATCGATATGTCCGCCCCAGTTTTTATGTTTGTTTAAGTCAAATCTAACCTCCTTCACAGAATAAACACTTATTAATTAACCCCACAAAAATTCAGATATACACTTCGTATAGGGCAATAAACATGAAGAATGCGTCATCTTATTATTCTCAATATACACCAATTTAACACATGCAGTAAACAACATCATTTAGGCAGCTATAAGTTACTGTAAGTGACCACAACGTCTGACAAATCACAACGATGCTAAAACATGCATATAATATTACACTTTAATGATCTGGTTTCTTGCACTTCACTTGGTGGAATTAATATTAGAATGCTGTTTTTAGGGTTTGTAATCCAAGTGAGTACATATACAGTTTTTATACACTTTAAGACCTGACCAGGAACGACTGCGAAAAATGTAACACCAGGTTCTCTGGTAGGAATTGAACCTACGGCACTGCGATTTCTGTGCAGCACTCTAACCAACTGAGCTATATATTACACTGCCTTTATAAATTGTCGATAAAAATAAATAATTCATACTTTTAAACTGAAATCTCTCAAACGCAGTCTAGTCAGTCGTGGTTGCATAAAGCGCGAAGATGATTTTCACTATTTTCCACTGAATTCCACATTTTAAAGAAATCTTGATTGGGAAAATATTAAGGAAAATTGATACGGGAAATCTTGGATGATCATCCGACATGGGAGTGAAGTGGAAACACGTTAATGGAGTGTTGATTGATGGTCGATTCGATTCGAGAAAGTGTTGATCGATACGAATGTGCATCATTCGACGTGGGTGAAAGTTGCAAATATTCGCTCTATGCCACGAATGCTTAATCGATTTGACTAAAACCCGCTCGATTCCGGAAAGTGTTGATCGGTCGAAGTCTAAGTTAGTCTGTTCATTTCCGCAAAATGTTGATCGATTTATAATGTTTATATTCGATTTCAAACTATTGAATTTTGACAGTAAATACGCGCCATAGAAATTTGGATAAACATGCACTCGTGAGTTTTTCAAAGACATCATATAGCACTCGTCCTTCGGACTCGTGCTATTTTGAGATCTTTGAAAAACTTACTCGTGTATGTTATATTCAAATTGCACTCAAGACCATGCTATTACCTATACTAATAGGACTATTGTCTTGTATATTGGCGGGTTAATATCAGGATTTTGTAGGTATTTTCACTTGTTTGAACTAAGTAGAAGGATAAACTCTTGAAATTTCCTCATGCTGCAAAATCCTTTAACATTGTCATGTATTGTCTGTTCTGTACAGTTAAGTCCTTTTGCTGTTTTTCCACGCGTTGATGTTCGGAAATCTGTTTCCAAAAGCTGTTTCCAATAGCTTAATTGTACTTCCCAATAACATTTTGTAACTGTTTGATTTACAAAACGAAGATAATGTAAATTAGCATTTAAAATACCTATTTACTGATTTTAATTAAGGCATTACACTGTGTTGTTCTTTTTCTATTTCCTAAAGTGGAGAAACCTTTCTTCGTATCGACTCGGAAAACGTTTCCAAAAGAGTACGAAATCTCTAAAGATGGAAGATCGTGTAATTTGTACCCTTCATCATACTTCATGGCTCACATTTCGCCCAGCCCGGAATATCCTGTACCATTCTTCATATACATAGACAGTCATCATATGACATTGAGTGGAAAGAAGGATGATTCCTTGGGAAATTTATTTGGATATTTTTACGTCAGTATAACATGGCATGCGAACACGTCAGCAATATATTACGTCATCGATAAAGATAAATATGGGGAATATATATCGGAATTTCGTTCCTCACCACCAAATGGAAATTGGACGGGAAATGTGGTATATGTAAGAAGTCATGAGATTTATAAAGGTAAACAATTGATTTAGTGATTAGTCCATTGGTTGATTAAATGACTTATTCATGTTTCTGCTACACAAATGGCCTTGATTTGATGGTTGGTCGGTCATGGCTGAAAAGTTCGTTACCTATGCAAATAAATTTAACATCAGCTCCATATGAATACACTGTAAGATCCAAAGAGTCCTGATCCCAGAACGATTCTTTTGTGGTTGCTTGACTATTTTGAATTCATAGTATTGATAATATTGAAGAACATTGATATGTAAATCTATATGTGAGTGGCATGATTGGTCAGTAGCGCCTGCATTCTAAAAGCACATCCACTCTCAAAGAGTGGAGGTTCAAGTGGAGGTTCAGTCTGAGCTTCTTTTGAGTATCAGTGCTGTTTTTGAATAGCTGGAGGGCTAGTTTCGTACCTTATTATGTGACTGACTCACCCTCCAGGTATTCTAAAACAGCATTGGCGCTCAAGGGAAGCTCAGATTGAACCTCCACTCTTTGAGTATGAGCGTGAGTGAACTTTTAGAATAGAGGCGTAAGCCTCGGTAATGAAAACGTTTTCACAAATTAAAAATGCTTATTGCAAATGTCACTGTATAATGTGATGCATGACATTTGCATAACATGCACGACTATAACTGATCGAATAGCTTCGAGGGGGTCAGAATTTAATTTTTTTTTTATTGGATTCAACGTGACAAGGTAAAATAAAAAAATTTCTAAAAATTTCTAAAAATTTGCGTTTTATTGCCTAGTTTTTAAGTTATCGGCATACAAACAGCGGCGTATAAAAAAGCGCGTAAGTTTGAGTGCCGATAATTTTAGAACTAAGCAATAAAACGCAAATCCCAGCGGTAAATTTTTAGAAAACTTCTTATTAACCTTGACACGTTGAATCCAATAAAAAAATAAAAAATCCAGCCCCCTCGAAGCTTTATTTAAGAACCCATATTTTCTGTTCGCATGTATCTTTTTACCGGAAGTGGGCTTTCTGTTCTAGCAGGGAAACTACCAATTATGCATTCTGATTGGCTTAGAGCGAAATTGTCAACAAATGCGCTGATTGATCGAAAAGGATCAAATTTTGGACTAAAAATGAATTTATTAAAATGTTTTCCCGTCAAAGTTTCTGAAAGTGCATCGTGCAAAGGGACTGTCTTGTGGAAGATTGCATCAAAAATTTAGTGGGGGCTATAAATTCAGTTTTTGAGATATTACGCCAAATTTGTTCCACAAAAAACTGTTTTATAGAATCTTTTGAAAATTGAGTATAATTATTGCAATAAATGACTAGGGCCGCGTTTATACTATACCGGATTACTTTTCATACCGGATTAATTTTTACTCCGAAGTAAAAAAACAAGGGTGTTTACACTATGCCGCTTCCCTCTGTTGCCAGCTCATGTCTTTCACTGTCGCCATGGAAACAAGTAACCAATATACCAATATTTATTAAAAACAAGAAGTAACACCCATTTTCTTTGTAAAGTATAACTTTGTTGCTTCGTTTCGCTCTAATACGAAATTGACGAGTATTTATTTAAATTTTCTCTTTTGAAAGCGAAAAGTCAATGTTACTATCATTTTATTTATTTGTATTCGGCAGAAATAGTAAATGGTTGTAAGGCGAAACAAACAACGGCTATAAAGCATTGTAAAAGCGAGCAAATAAAGGCGACAATGTTAAAACATACACGCCAAAACCGATTTTGTACCGAATCGTACCGGATTAGCCTGTTTACACTTCTCCGGCAAATACCGGATTACTTTTCATATCACCTCCAAAGCGGAGTGATTTTTGCTCCGCGTCGCGTACCGGATTACTGTGGCGTAGTGTAAACAGCAGTCGAATCCGGTATGAAAATCGCTACGCTCCGATGCAATCCCGTATAGTGTAAACGGGGCCTATAATACTTCTAAAATACAAAATTCCAGAAAAGTTGACCGATGGAGAATAGTTGATGCAGTACAAACCTTGCGCGGTCAAATGAAATTTTTGCTGACGTGATAAAATTTCAACTCGACAAGACACGTCATTTCGTTACCAGACCCATGCTTAAACAACTTTAAGGAGCCACCACGCTTCGATTTTCCATTTGACTATTGCTTGTGACGACATTAATTGAAATAGTAATATATTCTCACTGCTCGCTTTCCCGCACAATGCCTTTGACTGAGGGAATTCAGATTGGGGATAAATAATTTTCAGCCAAAGGTAGAGTGCGGCGAAGCGAGGTCCGGAACTTCGCCGTCCTTCCTTTTCGGTGGCAAATCCGCAAATGCTCAAAAGATACCGATTCTGTGCTACTTTTATACTGTCTGACAATCACGTGGTGTACCGTATATGGATGACTAACTGATCATCTCATGCATAAATATTCAGTATATGGTATTGTGAAAGAAAACTGTCAGTGAGAATAGCTGCATAGTGAAGTGGAAATTGAATTTGTGTCGTGCAAGTTTGGTCTGAAATCAGACTTAAATAGATAAATGTGATTACAAACTGCACTCCCGGTTCGCTGTCGTGAACTTTATTTTGTAATCACGCCTTGGATTCAAGACCAAATTGCACTTCACTCAGTTCAATTGCCATCATTTAATACTTTTATTGGTTAATTAATTAACTTACTCCTTGATGTTTTGATTCATTACTTCATTAATATTTCAATAATGGATTATCATTTTCCTGTGCACGTTTAATTTTAGATAACAGACATTGCCCTCCTGGATATTTTGGAGTAGGAGAAAAATGTCTTTGGTTTATATGCGAAAAAGATACTTTCAGTGAAGCCAACGCAAGGTGCTCCAAAGACTTCGGTTCTTTAGCATCGCTTCATTCAAATAGCATGCACATTGTTGGTGAATATTTAAACCGTATTCAAGTCAAGAGTTTTGAAATTACCCACATTACAATTGGATTGTCGAGAAGGGATCAGAAATGGATATGGGCGGATGGAAGGATATATAATGATAGTAGGGATATATTGGGATATTATAACAATATCGCTCTCTTAACATGGAATGAAACGGGAAAGGAATGGACACTTATGGGTGCTAATTCGGCATTTTTAAACCTTCATTTGTGCGAGAGGAGCAGACGTAAGTAGTACTAGTCTATATTGTATTCGAGAGGTTCAGATTTCCACTACTACTGTCGTTACGTTGCCACGAACCAATCAGATGTATTTTATCTACACAATTAACCAATCAAATGTGTATTGAGCCTGTGGGAGATACGGGAGGTGGTTCGGGCAGTGAGTACACAACATAATTCCTGAGCATTAAGAAGGAAACTATGGGTGAAATACTCTTTCAATAGCTCCGCATCGTGTATCGTCCAATATCTTCAACATATTGAATAATATTTATGCTAAAAGTTCACTGGCTGCTGTATATTTTAGCTAATATGTGTTTTTATAAAATTGCCTCGTGTACCTAGCACTTTTAAAGTTCTAATGAATAAATAATAAGCCAGCAAATAATTATAAATTGACATCGTTCGGAATCTTTAGTACATTTCATTTCCTGTTTTATTTCTTTACAGAAAATCTTGCTTATAACTCATGGAGCGAACAGTCTGGCATAAAATTACAGTTGGCTTCACAACTAGCTGTTGATGGATTTTCTTACACTTGCAGTTTGACACAACTACCAGTAAAGGTTAATAAGTCGTTTGACAGGAAAAACCTATAACAATAATATAAGTTATATAACACAAGTTTAGCAAGCACACGGAAGTTAATATAGCACGTGTTAGATAAATTCAAAACCATGGGCATGGTATTAAGTACAGTACTGTAAGTAATTCCAAACCCAAGTGGCTTTGAATACATCCAAACCAGGTAGTGATGGACACATCCAAAACCAATAGGTATTTTTACATATGTAATATGACGACCTTCGTATAGTTGACCTCTTCAACTTCGTAAGCAAACTCGAACTTGGGAAATCAATTAGGCCTTTACAGGGCACCCCGCATTTATTCTCAATGCGACGTCATACTTACCAAATTCCAGTCAAATATTGACGAAACCTGCGAAAGCCAGCCGGATAAACGGCCTAGGTTCAGCTAGGTCTGGCTAAACTTCACGTGCATCCTGTTTAAATAATTATACCCATCCTGGGCAGATTCAAAATCAAGTGGTATTTTTGAACACATGTAAAGTTAAACGGTGTATTGAACACACAAAGTTCGATGCCAAGTAGTTTTGGATCTAAACTAAATTTAACTAAACCATAGGTTCTTAATAATGTGTATTCTATTATTTGTTATGCAGCGGTCTCAATATTCTTGGTGGAAAGTAAAATTGGCAAATGAAACAAAAATCTATATGATACAAGTTACACCTTCGCCCAGCGCAGTTAAAGATTTAAAAGCTTTGGTGTCTGTGGGCTTACATGAGGATGGAAGTTCGCCGAACTGTATGAAAGAAATATATATCGCGAACCTACATATACCAGTAATATGCGAGCCGCCGTTGCCCAATCGCTACGTCAAAATTGAAACAAGGGATGAACGACTCAAACTTTGCGAAGTGCAAGTTTATGGTGCTGGTAACTAAATCATATGATATACTTTTCTTCACTGGTGATTGTTACCTAATTTCCAATTATGCATGAGTCTAGGCTTCCCTAAATGGTCCCAGAGGGAAAATTTTCATCATGCATTTCTTACTTACCATCATGTCTGCCATTGAGGATTGGTATAGCAACCCCTTTCCAATGCTGACCTTTTCTGGAAAACCACACTTGTCTTCGATTGTTGCAGTTACGAACGTTGTTCTGATTTGTTTCAATTTATGCTGAAAACAAATTTTTTGTGTTCTTTCATTGCAGAATCGTACACGAAAATCCAAGGAGTTATGCGTACATTTTGGGGAAAATATCGAGATACCACAAATATTTTCCCAATATTAACAAGAGAAAAAAACTATCCTGATAATCCATTATTTTTTAACCTTGGATCATCGTTCGTATACATGAAGACATATGTTAACCGCATACGAGAAACAAGGGCCTTCTTTCTGGTATGTTTTGCTCAATAGCCTCTCCAATTAGCACCTCACAACCTTCCGTCCTCCCATAATAATACGGTATACAATATGGATACGACAACTCTCATTTTTGATCCATAATCTCCGTTTTGCCGTCGAGTTTCCTAAAACGTGTTGGGTGTCCCCGCCTCTAGGCACGCCCCTTTGGAATTGCCGGGAAATACCTGATGATGTTGAAATACTGAACCACACCAACAACTGGAATGGGATGACTATTTTTAAAAATATCTACCTCTGTGTTCTTACACGCACTGAAAGATACATACGTTTTTGAACGTCAACTTCGCCAGCCTTTCTACATGAATTTAATCTATTATTCGAAGAAATACCTTGTAGGAAATAAACCTTTTTAGGACGATATTTTGCAATTTTTGCAGGCTTCAAGCAGAAGTAATTACACCTTCACTTTTCTTGGAAATGTTGAAGCCAAGATGCTGGTTACTGCAACAAGATATGCAACCAACAATTTAATGACACTTTTTCTAGATAAAGAGATATCAAGGCAAGCGTCCTGTTATTAATTTTTGACCAAGAGACCTTATAACCTTGTTTTATTAAGGAATTTACTGTATTGTCTGCTAAAGACGCTCTCGGTAGAAATCAGCTTCAGTGATGGGGCTAGCGTGTTTTCTTGTATTAATTTCCACTTAGATAAAGCATAACCAACCAACCAACCAACCAACCAACCAACCAACCAACCAACCAACCAACCAACCAACCAACCAACCAACCAACCAACCAACCAACCAACCAACCAAGCTCATAAATATCCAAATTGACTATTTTAGGTCCTCTATGAGGAAAAAGTCAGCATCTGTAATATTAGAGGCATGCCAATTTTATTTTGTGAAGTTAGTAACGACATATTCTGATTACACTGATGAATTATTACTTGGCATTGAAGAAGAAGGTGGTCTGTTCCAGAGCCCTATTGACACCAAGAGACTATTCTGGGCTTTACCAGGTACAGTATCAAGTTATTCTGTTGACAATCCAGCCCCATCATTCACCGTCGTATGTTATATCCCATAACATATAATTTCATGTACACTACATAGCGTACAATATCAAAACATATTATTGCATATAATTATGTTATTATCTATTTAAAGCATCAGATGATTTCAGATTAGCTAACAGTCAACTCAAAAATCGTCATATTGACTCACTAGCTGACCTAATATGGAGTCTTGACGTAGTATCCAAAATAATGATGTCATAATATTGATATGAAAAAGCTATGATCAGACGTCAGGCCAATAGCGACTGCCGAAGAAGTGAGGAATTGTCTCACTACACAAGTCGGTTCACACAACAGACTCAGTGGCGTAACAGAAACTCCTGAGGCTCCCCATAATTTTTTTTAAGTGGATCCTATCTTTTCCAAGAACAATTGGCGAGCGGGGTGTGTGGGGGGTGTGGGGGTGGGGGGGGGGGGTGGAAGAAACAAATTTTTTCGAACCATATTTCTTAAATAAAAAGGGTAAAAAACAGTGAAAAAGGGTCACAAAAGTTTTTCCCCATTCAATTCCTGCGTTTATGGGCCACCCGTTGCAAATTTTCTGGCCCTGTATAACTGAGGCTGGAGTCAGTTTGCTCACTATACTAGCAAAAATGTTATGGTTATTTTTGCCATCACTGGACGCCCACACACCTCCCGGTTACGCCGCTGAACAGACTGCTGTTTCTTCTTTTAAAAAAAACCATTAAGAAATGTTGAATTGTTTTGCGTGATCACAGTTAATAGACTGAGATGGTTAGGAGAGTGGGCGGGGTTTACTAATTATGTTCGGTTTCCAGTTATTTCCGTCACGTGATCGGGAGAGTACACATGGCGACAAAACACAATAGAGTATTGTATTGCGGCGACTAGTTCTTTTCGAAAAGTCTTAACAAAATCTTTCTGAATTTGGGAATTTTACATTTTTAACCTCTGGCATGCAATGCCAGGTGCCAACTGCGCTTTGTATGGCTGTGGAACAAGTCGAAGGAGTAATCTTTCGCTGTTCAAAATACCTTTTCCTGCTCGAGACGACGGAGACGAAACCGTAAAGTTGAAGTCTGATGCTCGGAAAGAATGGCTAAGAGTAATTCTAAGGATACGAGAAAACACGCCAGAGTTGAAAAAAAGAATAAATGAAAATAATATATTCTTATGTGAGCTGCATTTCAAACCCGAGTTGATTTATCAACGTAAGTATCTCTTTATTTTCTTTGTTTTTGCGCAAATATATGGTAATTAGACACTTGTCTACATACATACATAAACATTGATCATGGGTAATGGCGTGCAACAAATTTATGTTTATTTCGTTTGTAGATGCCAAAAGAAAAACTTTGGAAACGGGTGCTGTTCCCACACAAAATTTGCCGTCGAAAAGCCACGACTCGAAGCCAAGTAGCCGACGCTCTCTAGTACGAGAAATTTCTGGCGAGACTCCTTCGACATCTGCTTTGCCGCCTGTTGATATTGAAGGTAAATCTGTAAATGTTGTCAACGAAAGTTTTGAAGAGCTTGTTCCACGGGTGAAAGAAAGTATAGCACTTCCATGGGTTATCAAAAAGTGCAACGACCTTGAAATAAGGATGGAACTTTGGGACAATAACTATTCGCTACCGAAGTTTGTTTTACACGTCGATCAATGTTTGCAATTTTCCTTGCATATTTTTAACTGGCTACTGCCCGACGAACACAGTATCTACACTGCTCATCGACGTCGAATCATCTCTGCTGGAGTTGTTGAACTCTTGCAATCTCTTCAAGACGATGACTTCTTGATATGCGAAGGACTACACCAACACGCTGAATACCTCACCACCATTGCAAAAGATCCTGATGACCAATCCCATCCACTCCACCCATCTGATGTTGTACGGCATTCTATCCCAAAGAGTGTAGAAATGGATACAAATTTTGGGGTTTTAGCTGTTTTTCGCTGTGTTACTTGTCAGGTTTTAGTTCGCAGACAAGACCAAGGTGACGTTATCTGTGAACCATGCAAACAACTACAAAGGAAAATTGTAGCACAGCAAAATCGCAGTACACGCCAATCGAGTGCCCCTGCTAAGGATAAAGCTCCCCTTACTCGTTGCAGTGCGGACAAGCTAAGAGCAACAGTAGTGGAAAGTCGCGTAAAGTGTTCTTTGCTCGAAGCGAAAGTGAAAAGCCTCCAAGTTCAAATAAAAAAGGATTCAATCACAGTTAGTGAGACCCTTGAAAAGGATGTGTTGACAATCATGGGTGGACATAACTTAGAAAGCACACCACACATGAAGTTCTTTTGGGAACAACAAGTCCGCCTGCGGCAAGCAAATAAATTTGGACGGAGATTTCATCCTCAAGTAATTAGATTTGCATTGTCCATTCATTGCAAGTCTGCTTCTGCCTATAGAGAGCTGAGAGACAGTGGTGCCCTCATATTGCCCAGTGAACGAGTTCTTCGGGACTACAGAAATTATTTCAAACCTGGAGCTGGCATTACCAAAGAAAACGTTGAGGAGCTCAAAGAAAAAGCATCGAAGTTTTCTGGGATTCATAAGTATGTGGCAGTGATCATGGATGAAATGAAGATCCAAGAGAACCTTGTGTTTGACAAGACGTCTGGTGAGCTGATTGGCTTCATAGATCTTGGCGATCCTTTAACCACCTTTGCCAATACTGACGAAGAAACCCCAATTGCATCCCATGCACTGGCATTTTTGGTTAGGGGGCTTTGCACCAATTTGAAGCATGTAGTTGCCTACTACTTTACTGGCAATGTTACATCATTTCAACTACTTCCTTTGTTTTGGAACCACAAAAAAGTGCTTGAAACCACAGTAAAGTTGTGGGTAATTGCTGCTGTCAATGATGGTGCTTCCCCTAACCGGAAATTCTTTGCACTCCATGCCAAGCTTGGTGGCACACTACCCTGTGGTCTAGTGTACAAGACACCCAATCTTTTCATGCTGACTCGGATGATATACTTCTTTGCTGATGTACCTCATCTTATCAAAACCACTCGAAATTGTCTCTACAATTCAGGATATGGATCACGTAGTCGGTATGTAAAGTTTAATATATTTGAAATTGTTGTTCATTATTTGCATGAAACTGGTCTGCTTTTAACTGTTTATTTTATGATTGAGTTAGTTTTCTTTGGTGTACCACAGGATGTGTACTATATATATTACCACATACAGTAGCTGTCCTTGAATACTTATTACAGTAGTCAAGAAATAAAGGGAAAAACCTTGTTAGGAAACCTCCTCAATCATGAAATACAGTTATAAAGCCTATGTAATTGAATGTTGGGCTGTATGCTATATAGAGAACACAAAGATTCCGAGGGCTGTTTAGCATTCAGCCCTTGTTCTCTGGCCTTATCTCTTACTGTACAGTACCATACTGTATAGCTTCATTTTAACCCATTAAATTGCAAAGCACTTTCAATTGTGCCGGTGTGCCCTACTTTAAGTTTCTACTCTGACTAATGGCACTTGTGGCTAAATTGTGTCAAGAGGAGAGTCGTGCATTGCATTTTAATGGGTTAGTTTCCTGTTCCCATAGTTGCCCAAGTCCTAGAATATATTTTTACCTTTATAGGTACATGTGGAACAATGGCCAGTATTTGCTGTTTAGGCATATTGCTGACATGTTCCACAATGATCAGGAATATGCTTTACACCGACTGCCAAAGCTGACGTTGGACCACATTTTGTTGACCGGCTATTCAAAGATGAAGGTGAAACTTGCTGTTCAAGTGCTGAGTAGAACCGTTTCAACCTGCCTGCTTGAGAGTGATGATCCAAGTGTTGTTGGCACAGCAATGTTCTGTCAGATGGTAAATGACTTCTTCGATTGTTCGAATGTCAGGTCATTGAAAGAGCATCAACTGAAGCGAAATGATCGCATCAAGCCTTATGAGAGCCCCGATGACGAGCGTCTGGTGTGGATGAAGAATACATTTCTAAAGTATCTGGAAGATTGGAAAGAAAGTGTGGCCACGAGAAAAGGATCCTATACTACAGGTGAAAGAGAAAAGATGTTTTTGTCCCGCCAGACCTATGAAGGCTTCAAAATTACAGTCCACTCCCACATTGAAGCCATAAAGTTTCTGCTTTCCATAGGATTTTCCTATGTACTTTCAGAACGCTTTATGCAAGACGTTCTTGAAGACTACTTTGGTCACCAAAGGACTCTAGGAGGAAGATCAGATAATCCTTCAGCAGAACAATTTCGATACAATGACCGAACCCTTGCTGCTCAAAGAGACATTGCCCCATCAGTGAGTGGCAACACAGGAGGACGGTATGGCAAGGATAAATGGTACACTGTAAGTGATGAGCCTTTAAAAAAGCGAAAGAAGAAGAAATGACTGAGTCACTGACAGAGTCTGATCATATGTTTATATTAAGTTAACTCACCACTGGTCTTTTTCAAGTACAGTAGGACCTTTGTTGGGACTTACCTGTGATCCTCAAAATTTTTAGTGACATGCAAGTGGGCTTAAAGATTGCAACACCACCTAGATTTTTGGGTCACATGGTCAGTTTCAACCAAGGTTGTATATGTGGCATGATACTCTTAGGGTATTAGCAGACTACATCAGCTTCAACAGTCCTGCTCTTTAGAGATGAATCGAAGAGCATGGCTGTTGAAGCTGGTTCAAACCAGAAAAACGGAAAGTACCAAGTTCAATTTGAAGTAATATTTATGCCTTGCACCTTGGATGATTGAAGTCATTTCTAACTGGCAGTGTCAAAGTTGTTGAACTGTCTTAGCAAGTAACACACACATTTTCTGAATGTAAATGTATAGTCTCGTACCCACACATCCCCTTTCCCTTTTGTATTTTTCAAACTCAGCATCTAGCAAATTCAGCAATTTAGGAGATACCTGGGTAAGAAGCTAATAGTGTCAATAGATAAAAGATGATTCTTGTTATTACATGCTCAAGTACAACTCCTGATGATTGTACATTTGGTAGATACTATTATACCCCTCATTTAATTGTTGTCATGCCTTACATGAAAAGGGCTCATTTATTAACATATATAGCATATAGTTGTATAATAGTACAGGGCTACAAATTTGAATTTTTCCTGAGCATCCAATGGGATACTAGCGACTTAAAATCTGGTATCCACCCAGAAAATCTAGTATCCCACATTTGCAAAACATCTTTTCGTTCACGAGCGATACCAATGAAAAGGATTTTTTCCAAGCCATTTTAAATTTCAGTTGTGGACAAAACTTTTTCAGTATCTCGATCTCGGGATACTGAGCTGGTGATTTCCAGTATCCAAATTTAAAATCTGCTATCGCTGGGATATCGGGATACCACAAATTTGAAGCCCTGATAGCATATACTTTTGTTGTTGACATAAAGGGTCTAATAGAGATCATTGAACAAAATTATGTCTTAATTAATGGAACATTTTATTACATTATTACCTAGAAAGCTAAAGATGTTAACAATTACTAGCAAAGTACATGTGAGAAAAAGAAATGCCTTGAAGGAGCAGGATTTTTATTTACAGGCTCCGGGACAGCTAAATTGCAGAATACCTGTCCACTTTGACATATTACACCTGTTATTTCCTTGTAAACATGGCGAAATGAGGAAAATATGCCAATTTCAAATGCTTCGTTCTTCAAAGACTTACATTGTATTTAATCACAGCAACATATCAGTTCTTGGAGTTTTATCTTTGAATTTTTAACTGTGAACTGTTTTGAAATAATTTTTTAATTCATTTATTTGTTTAATTAAACAAGCTATCAAAAGTGGACTGGTATTCTGCAATCCCTCCTCATGCAGGGACAAAACAGACAGTCAGTGAGTTACTTATCAACATTATGCCTTTTAAGTTCTTTCCGCAGTGCTTTGCTCTTTGCTGCTTTTTGCTTAATTTTAAATTTGCTGATGTAATCTCTAGCATAGGAAAAACTGCGAACCTTTATATAAAGTTTAATAATGTTTTCAAGACAAAGCTTGGTAGTTTGTTTCGGCAAGTCCTTGCATCCAAGCAAAATGTTTTCCCACAGTGACTTAAGCAATGGTGACTCCAGTGCTTCATTACATAATGTATCACATGGAATAGTACTAACCACTGATGTTTGCTGGGCAATGAACTGTCTAAATACTATTTCCACAACCTCCAAGATTTGCACTAGATCACTACATGGTGTCACTAGTCCACCTCTACTTCGTGTGTCAATATATGTGTTCTCAACACTGGGACGTTTCATGCACTGTAACATAACCTGGAGCTCTTCATTTGGTTTACTCGAGCACTGTTTTTGTAATTTCGCCAATACGTAGCCAGCAATATATGATAAGGGTCCACGTTCATGTTCGCTTAGTTCTGTTACATGCTCTGTGCTTTCACTTGAAGTGCCAGACTTCTGCTTTCCACTGGTAGACTTGAACAAAGCTACTAGGTGATCAGATATGCTTATCATAACCAGGCTACAAAGTGGCTGGTTTTTGCATTTCAAGAGGGCAGATGACTTGGGAATAAGCTCATAAAATTCGATGAGAAAATTATCTTGATTTCGTTTCTTACAAAATCGTTGATAAACTGGCGAGACAGCTTCGTAAAGGTTATCGTTCGAAGTTACTTTTACCAAATCCGAAGTTATTCCTTTGTCCCAATAACCCTCCTTTGTTATCTTTGCTTTTACTTTATTCACGATAGACGTAAGTTCATCTTTCTTAAGCGAAGGAATGTTTGCATTTGCTGTGGCTTTGCTGCCATGCTTTGCGTTTACATGCCTCGTTAGGCCAGCTTTCGATTTACAAATCTTTTCGCAATTTTCGCATGGAAACATTTTTTCGCCCACTATCTCCGTAGCAGCTTCAACAAAAACGTTTTCAACGGCCTCCTCGTCTTCGTCCATAACGGCCATGGTGATTTCAAAATGAAAAGGCAAGCTAGATTCTTCATCGTCCCCTTCGTCAACAAATGGCAACTCATCAGGTACGCTCCTATTTCCTTCGATTTCTGCCTCTACACGCTCAGGGATAGATTCAATCGCCTCCAAACTTTTCTCCATCGTCTTACTCACATAAAACTATCCTAAAACGGCGATTTCGGCTCCAGGATTAAGAAACGTTTCGATATATTTGAGAAAATCAGCAAAACTGTAATACGATCTTATATAAATCTTTGAAGCGTGTCCCCTTTCCTGTGCACGTGACATTTATTTCCTTTGTGCCTCGACATAAATGCCGCCCGCTGCGATTTTGCTTTGAAGTTTGCCGGCTCTCCTAACCATCTCAGTCTATTAACTGTGGACGAACGGAAATATACTGTGGGTGTATTTCTTGATCTTTCTAAAGCTTTTGACACTGTTGATCATAATATTTTGTTTGATAAATTAGCCTTTTATGGTGTCGTGGTTTACCACTTGATTGGTTAAAAAACTCTTTTGCTAATAGGTCCCAGTTTGTTGATTATAATGGTATTAGTTCTAGCCATTCAACCATAACATGCGGCGTCCCTCAAGGATCCATTTTGGGTCCTTTGTGATTTCTTATATATATTAATGACATATGTAATGTTTCTACGTTCATTGATCTGGTTTTATTTGCAGATGATACTAATATGTTTTTTCCCACTATGACTTGAATACATTGATGTCAACTGTGAACGTCTGAGTTGAACAAGTTGGCATTATGGTTTCATGCAAATAAACTAACCATTAATATTAAAAAGACAAATTACATTTTGTTTGGACCAAGGCATAGGAAGCAAACACTTCACTTGACTTTGTATGTGAATGATAATATCATTAGACAAGTTAGTGAAACTGTTTTTCTTGGTGTAGTGCTGGATGAACACTTATCTTCGAAACCTCATATCTGCTAGCAAAATATCCAAATCAATAGGGGTTTTATACAAGTCAACTTTTTGTTTACCAAAATCAGCTTTATTGTCATTATATTATTCCTTGATCTATCCATATCTCCAATATTGTATCATTGTGTGGGGTTCAACATACTCTACCAATCTAAATCGTATATTTTTATTACAAAAACATGCAGTGCGAATCATTTGTAAAGTCTCTTACGACGAACATATTTAAGAATCTACGAATATTGAAGTTTAGGGATACTTATTTATTAAGTTTAGGTAAATTTATGTATTCTTTTTCCAAAGGTTTGCTTCCCACCATTCTTAACGACTGTTTTGCATTATCCAATGAAATACACCCGTATGACACTCGTAGCTCTAAGTTATTTCATATTCCATATTGTCGCACCAATACTAGACAGTTCTCTCTGAGTTACCAACGACCTAACTTTTTTAACTCACTGAGCTCAGATCTGCGTACTGCTGCTTCAGTTTCGAGTTTTCAATTTCAGCTTAAACAACATCTTTTTTCAAAATATTAGTCTCACAATTATTATATTTTATATAGTTTTTATTAATATTTATGTATCTAAAATATTAATTTGCTTGTTAAATATTCCGATCTCCTGGTAAATTTTCTATAAATATTACACTGTATATATAGCTACCTAAGTATGAGGTGCCCAACGTTTTATAAACTTTGTTTCCAGTTGGGCATCCTCGCCACTTTTTAGACATTTCTTTTGTTATTTTTGTATTTTACTGTATGTTTTGTTGTGTGGCGAATTAAATTCTATCTATTCTATCTATTCTAAAATGTGATGTTTGTAAGAAGAAATTTAGGAGATCGGATTATTTAGCAAGCCATAGAAGAACACACACTGAAACAACCCTTATGAATGTGATGTTTGTAAGAAAACATTTGTAAGGTTGGATTATTTAGCAAGTCATAGAAGAACACATACTGTTACTGGAGACAAGCCTTATTGGCTCGCCAGAATCAGAAACCGGTTGTAAAGTGACCACAAATAATTTCCAAATATCGTATAATAATAGTAATTTTTAGTAATCGTAGTAGTAATATTCGATCTAAAAGTATAAATACAAGAATTATCTACTGAATAAAGTAAATTAGTAATAATAAACAACATGAACTTACTTCTTTGGCCTATATCACTTTACAATACACCAAATATAAACCTATTTCTGAACGTTAAACCTCGAGTAAACAGCTTAAAACCAACGTGTTTATTTCCCGCTATTTTCTGTCACGTGACTTTGTCTGTTCAATGACGTAATTATTTATCTATTTTTAAATTAGCGAAACATCCTCCACCCCAATGAGGACATTGTTCTCATTCTATTCTCCGTCCACGTGGTGTATAACTGAGATTTTAGTAATAGGTCTTCGGTAATTAGCATTTTGTGTTTTTACTGTTACATTTCGAACTTTTCCATCTTTACCTGGATGAACTTCAATAATTTTTCCGATCGTCCAATTACCTCGTACTGCATT